CTGCTCTGAAACTGTGATGCTGGTCCTTGCTCTACTGCAGCAGCAAGTTCTACCCTGCTAGTGCTCCTACTCACCGTGGGACTGCCACCCAGGACTGTTACTGGGATCCAAGTATGGGCAAAGCAACAGAGTCCTGCCTCAGTGCTAGCCCTCCTCCCCGCCCCCCCCAAGCAAAAAGACCCCTGTAGTCTCCTTCTGACCAGTTGTTTTCCCCCCCCCCCCCCCCCCCCCCCAGTCTGTGGTCTGAGAGCTCCTGAAGTAGCCGCTGCTACTGTTGCTACTTATGTAGTCACTCCCAAGGCCTGCTCCTGGTTTACTACGCCCAAGTCTGTGTTTGCCTGGCTTATGCTGGCGGGGCCTGAGCTGGACTGTGCTCCACATGCAACAGACCTTTCCTGCTGCCCTTCTAAGCTGCCCTTGGAGTCTTTTGGCTGAGGGGTCTCGAACATGCCACTGTTGCCCAGTCTCCCTGAGGCCTGTTCCAGGGGCTGGTCTGCATTGGTGCCAGGCCTGTGTTGGACTGTGCTCCTCTCTTACCCTGGTGGAATAGACCTTTCCTGCCGACCTTCCAAGTTGTCTTGAAATTTGTCTGTCTTTTTGTGGTTTCTGCTGCTTTAGAATTTGTTTATAATCTTTTTTTTGGTGGGGGGGGCTAGGCAATGGGGTTAAGTGACTTGCCCGGGATCACACAGCTAGTAAGTGTCAAATGCCTGAAGTCATATTTGAACTCAGGTCCTCCTGTCTCTAGTGCTGGTGTTCTATCCACTGTGCCACCTAACTGCCCCTAGAATCATTTTTTAAAATTATTTGGAGGGGTTTAAGAGAGAGCTCAGATGAGTTCCAGCCTTTACTCCGCCATCTTGGCTCAGTCCTATAACATAAATTTTTAGTGACCTAGTCAACATATTCTCTAATTTTTCCTCATCCAACAGAACCTAATTAGAAATAAAAGTGACTGTTGGTGGGAATAATCCAAGGCATAATTGACAATTGGATAAGAGGACCAGGAGCTCATATGTAGAGGACACTGTAGAGATGATGATGATCAGATAAAGAATTCCAGAGTTCATAAACGTAGAATTAGAATATTTTTTGGATGATGACAAGATCAAGATTATGAATATGTAGCTAAGGTATAGTGGAGGAATACACAGGAACTGACTAGTTTGAGGAACTGGGAAGTTAGGGTTTTTAAAGGTTTGTCAGGATGTATGTTGCAATCCCCTTTTATGAGTGTAGGAATTGGGATGGAGAGAAAGGTTGTGACCTTGGCACTGAACTCATTGAGTAGGGAAGAGAGTGCCTTGGAGTAGATGGAATTACTAGAATTTTGATTGAGTGATAAATTTAATTGAATGAATTTCAAAGGAAAAGAGGTTACGGAGTGGTGGTGATAGAGGAAGAGTCGGAGTGGGCATTGTAGACCACTTCTGGGGATGAGAGTGAAAGTAGAACTGTTAGGAAATGGTGGCCAGAAAATGTCATGTCATTCAGAGGAAACCTGGTCTCAGTGAGAGCCAGAAGGTGGAGGAATGGGAAAAGAAAATGTTTAAGACAAAGCAAGTTTGTTATCTGTGAAATAGGCTTTCTGAAAAGTATAGTGGAAGAGGTATGCAGATCTGAGGTAAGGCATTTGGGGGATAGAATTTAGGGGGATGGTAGTAAGAGATTGGACAGTGGAGGATAGGGAATGAGGTTTGTGCATTGAAAGCTGAGCATTCTGAAACACTGATATGGAAAGAATATGATGGCGTAAGAAGAGTATGCTAACTGTTGAGGAATGAATCCAGGCAGAATTATCAGTGGATTTTGAGAGAGGACTTTTGAAGAGGGGCAGGTGATTAAACTATTCAAAACCTCCTTTCAAGGACCTTGTAGCAGGTTGAGATATTGAGTCCTGTGACAGACTAGAACAGGCCAAGAGATGTCCCCCAGGTCATCCTTTGAGATTCAGAGCACTGGATCTTTGGGGCCCTCTCTGTCATCTTTGGGGACAGTGTTCTGAGTCTGAAAAACCTTAGGATTACATTGTTTGGGCCCTTTGTTCTGCCTCAGCCACATTGGTTACTGCCCTTCTGCTCCCTTCTTAGGTACCTGCTATGGGTTCCAATCACCCTGGCACTTTCTCAAAGGAGTCCTCTGTTCTAACTGCCTCCAGGTTGTTGTGGTTTGTTCATTGCTCTTGAAGAGAACCTTGACTTCAGGAAGGTGATGCTATGACTTGCAAGTGAGTTGGATTTAAGTGAGAGAGGGCTCTGCAAAGTCACCAGTGTCACTTTTTCCTCTGGAGCCTTCTGGGTCCAGTGGTTATCTATAGATCTGGATGACTGGAGATGGCCCCCACCTCCAGGTATTTGGCTTGGCAGGCAGGCTCTAAGTTTCTCTATTATCTGGTTGCATGAGATGTTTTTTGCCCTTGTTAGTTCTGGTTTTTCTGGTGGCCTCCTGTCCAGTTGCCCTTGGTCTTGTCACTGACTTTTTGTACAGTTTTTCTTTGGAAGAAATCACTTACTGTAGTTTCTTATTGGATTTCTTTATTATTCAGTTGGGTGAGATTATTAGATTTTTTTGCCTTAGTGATGGTTTAAGAGCTGGGTTACCTGCCTTAGTTAAGGTCACTGTCTTGGCCAAAAGTCTTAAGAAACAGTTTCTTAACCTACTTAAAATTTTTTGTTTTTTGTTTTTATGAATAATAGGGCAAACATTTTTGGAATAAAATGAAAAATAGATTTTTTTTTTTGGCCACCCTATTTCCACATTTCCTATTAAGATTTCCATTTTTGGCCCCAAGTCTTTTCTTTAAAAAATTACCTGACCTTTACTGTTTTTCCTTTCTCATTGTAAAAAATGATTTAAAAACATCCTTAAAATTTTTCTTTTTCTTTCCATGAGAGTTGCTCCATTTTATTTATTTTTTTTTCAGCCAAAGACAAGGTTTATTAGAACATCCATCATATTGGGCAGACTCTTAAGGAGTCTGAACATGAGTAAGCAGTGGCTAGATTATAAAGATCCCAGCAGTGGCTAGATTTTAAGAATCTTAGCAGTGGCTAGATTATAAAAATCTAAGCTGAGTTCCATTTTAGCTCAGCATAAGGAAACATATTATGTTCTACTGAAATTCCCTCCCTATATATCTCAGGAGAGGATTGCCCAAAACTTCTTGTTCTTTGAATATTTTATTTTTGCATTTTTGAATCATTATATTTTTATGTCATTTTCTAACTAGATTTCCTCAAAGAGTTTTCTGTTTAATACCTGTCAGCTATCTTTACAGATGTATTTAGTAGTAATTGATTTCTTTGAAAAAATTTTTAAAATTATTTAAAAGTTATTATCTTTGTTTTTAAATTGCCTAAATTATCCCACCCTCCACCCTGGGTAGTATTTGTTTATATAGGTATCTTCAGCCATCACAGGGCATTTCTGATCTTTCATACTTGTCTGCCTTCCTGCCAGATGTGTTTGCTAATAGGATTCTAATGGATTCAAAACTTCTTTCTCCTGAGGGACTTGATTGAAAAACTCCTATAATTTATGTGGAGGGTCGGGGGAGAGAGGTAGAGGAGGCAGAGAAGGTAGAATGCAGAGGGGAGAAATGGTACTTTAATATGTTGTTAGAACTTTTGTTAAGAATCTCTATAGCAGACCCATATGAAATCTTCTAATCTTAAAACCAAATGTTTAGGGTTAAGTCAAGACGTATTTATTTAGCATTTACTATGGCTTTAGTATTGGCTTGTACTATTTTTTTTAAGCCTTTTGATACCTGAATTTGAATTTGGTGTATTTGAAAATATAACTTAAGTGTTTCTTGGTTGCATAATCACCATAATACCAAAGATAATTTCACTCCAATGAATATGGCAGTTTCAAACATGATAATTTTATTAAGCACCTCCTAAGTGCCAGGTACTATGCTGACACTTGTAATAAGTGTCAGGCTCAGTCACCTTAAACTCTTATTGAGGAAACAATATGTACACATAGAAGTAGATGCAAAATATATAAAAAATAAAGTAAATTTTTTTTTTGGAGGCAGCATTTACAGCTTGGTGGGGAGGGGTCAGACAAGGCTTCCTGTGATATTTGGGTTTGGCCAAGAAGAAATCTAGGAATTCAAACAAACAAACAAAAAAAAGAAACCTAGGAATTCTAAAAGTCAGAGAGGAGCATGCCAGCCTTGGGGGATGGCCTGTGCCAAGCCATAGACGGAAGAGATAAAATGTTGGGAAAGGATAAGTAGATAAGTTTGGCTGGAATATAGAATGCATGTAGGGGAATTATATGTAACAGGTCTTGAAAGGTAGGCCAGTACTGGGTTGTGAAGACTTTTGAATGCTAAACAGGGATTTCTGTTTGATTCTAAATGTAATAGGGAGCCACTGGAGGCTTTTGATCAGGAGAACAATATGCTTAGACCTATCTTAAGACTATCACTTCTGGAAACATGTGGAGTAGAGATTGGAGAGGGAAGAGTGTTAGGCAGGAAGACTAATCAGGAGGTAATTACCATATTACACATGAGAAAAGTGATGTGGATCTGAACTAGGAAGGGGGGGCTGTGTGAGTAGAGAGTAGATAACATGCCGGGGCTCCTGTGGAGGGAGAAGGGACAATACTTAGAGATGTGGGTGAAAGAGTGACATTGAGTATGTTTGATCTTACAGATTGTTCATCATTCCCTGTCTCTGTATTTCCAAGACAATATTAAGAGTTACAAATTATGTTCACAGTAACTTGATGTAATGGCCCAGGTCCTTCTAGCAGTAAATAGTTTCTTGAGATTGTTAGGCATTTTAAAATTGCTTGTAGAAGCCATTTATTTGTAGACTGATGATAAAACTCCTAGAACCATTAGGGAAGTGTTGACTACCGTGCTTCTGTAGTATTATGATTTCCTAATTCCTAGGACAGACAGAGTTGGTAGTATTTGATGCATTGTTTTCTAATGGTATCTTTATTTAATTACTTATGCATTATTTTTTTCTTAATTATAGCTAATGAAGAAGAAGTCAGAAGAGTAGCCGAAGAATTGGCTACGAAAGAGTCTGAAAATCTGAAAAGGTTTGTTTTATGGTATATGCAAGATATTCTGATGGCATAGCCTATCTATTTAATATTTCTGGTGACAGATTTACTAAGGGGTCTTCCTGATTTGTGTATTCTGAATTAATTTCACTGGGTTTTAGTTTCCTCATCTGCAAAATGAGGAGGTGGAACTATATGACCTTGGAGGTTCCTTCTAACTTTTCTTATATTATCCTGCTATCCATCTGGGAGAGGAAATGTGGCATAGTGAAAAACAGCACTACATTTGAAACAGAAATCTGGAGTTTTAATCTTTAGCTTGCTATTTATTAGCTATGAGACTGTGGGTAAGTCAGTTATCCTCTTTGACTTTATTTCCTCAAATTTAAAATGATAATAATAATAATAATACTTATGCTATCTACAGGGTTGTTTTGAGCTATTATATAACTGGACTACTAGTCCTAATACCTAATATTTCCCAAACTTATTTGTCTGAACAGTATTGTGTACTCGATGTGATAGTGGGAAGTAATGTTTTAGTTGCTCAGATATTCTGGGTGATGCACTGTTACCTAAATATACTCAAGGTGAATTTCTGATATTTGCATGATTAGAAGATAATGAAGTATACTTAATAGATAGCATAGTATAATGGATTAGGAATTGGCCTTGGAGTCAGGGTCAAGCCCTGCCTCTGACACATACTGGCTGCATAACCCAGGTTAAGTCATTTAAATCTTGTGTCCCTGTCAACTCTCTTAAGACTATAAGTTATTGAGCAATTGCTGAACTCCTGTGGGAGAAGGAATTTCCTGGGCAGAAGTTCCCTACACTAGTAACACTCATAGGAATAGACCAAAAAAAAAAATTCTTAATAGGAAAGTTATAGAGACTTGAAATAGAGTTAATCATAATAGGGAGATGATGCCAGAGGTAAGTAAGTAGATGATAAGAGAGCATTAGTTGCACTTGATAACATTATCAAGATAAACTATGTGCTAGGGACTAAAAAACTAGAATGTGGCATGTAATGGGTCAGCCACTGTCAGTAGTCCAAAAGATAGTGGTAGTGGAGAACAGGAGCCTTGTCTCAGGATTGGAAGGGGTACATGTCCCAGTTTTCAAACAAAGAAAAGAGATTGGAATCTGCAAACTCTATGGCAATGAACTTGACCTTTGTTCCCGGAAGTATCCTAAAATGTATTATTATTAAAAGTATGGTTGGTGAAAAATCTAGAAAAAGAAGAAATTGGAGAAAGCCAGCATGGCTTTATTTGGAATAGACCTCTTCACTATATATTTCCTTTTTTTTTTTTTTTTTCTTCTTCTTACAGGTTTCCTTGATCAGGGGAATGCAATAGATAAAGTTTACCTGGATTGATATTAGCCAATATTTTAGCTAATACCTGTCATGTCTGTTCGGGTGGACAAGATGGAAAGATATGGGCTAAGCAGCAGTATAGTTGGATAGATTTACAGATGTGGGAAAGGCCAGACCCAGGAAGAAGTCACTAATGGTTTGATGTCAATTTATGATCTTAGAATCATAGATTTAGAACTAGAAGGAACTTTTAAGGCTTATCTAGTCCAACCTCATTTTAGAATTGAGAAAATTGAATTCTTGAGAAAGGACACAGCTTGAATAAGATCCCACAGTAAGCGATAGAGATGACAGGTCCGTAGACTCAAATTCTTTGCTCTTACCATTGTGCCATGAATGCCTTAGGCATCCATGGAACATTTTCTCCATCAAATTTGCAGATGGCAGAAGGCTGGGAAGCATAGCTAATGTATTCGATGAGAGTATCCACAAGGATTTCCATGGGCTAGAATGTTGGACTGAAGATAACGTGATAAAATTTGTTTGAGGCAAGTGTAAAGTTGAATTAAAAAAACCCATGTCAAGTACAAGATGAGGATGGCATACCTAGTCAGCAGTTCATCTGAAAAAGATCATTCTAGGGGCTTTAGTGACCTTGCAAGAGCAATTTTAGTCTGATATGACAAGAATAAAGCCAGTGGAATCTTAGGTTGCTTTAAGAGAGGTCTAGTGTCCAGGACTATGTGATAATAGTCCTGCCTTACTCAGATATGGTTGTTGGGAGTATTTGTTCGGTTGTGGCAGCCCCATTTGAAGGATTAGGTGATTATCTAATAGATATTTGATAGATAATAGATATTAGATAATCTGATAGATATCTAATGGATAATTGGATATATTATCCAATAATAATAGTTAAATAATACATTGATAAACAGGGGAATTGTCTAGAGGAGATCACTTGATTGGGAAGAGCCCTAGAACTGTACCTTTTGAGAGTGAAGGAAGTATGGATGTTGAAGTGGGAAAAAGAAGACTTTATGAGCCTGAAGGAACTAGGGATGTTTTAGTGGCAGAAAAGAAGACTTTGTGGGTCCTGGACAACAACATTCAAGCATTTGGTAGGCTGTCCTGTGGAAAAGGGGTTAGCTTTGTTTTGCTTGGTCCTAGAGGGCAGAAACTGGCAGCCAGGGGTAGGATTGGTAAAGTAGTGAATTTAGGCTTCATAAGATACGTAAAGAAGGGTACAATGATTAGAACCATCCCAAAGTTGCTTGGGCTTTTTTTTGTGGTAAGATTGTTGTTTCTGGCTCATTTGAAGTCTTTTAGGGCTAGCTTTCTGTAGAGGAAATTCTCTCTTAGGTCTCATTTGAACTGGTTGTATTCTTCTGGTCCATTGCTCTTGTACACTCTGATACTGAATGCATGTAAATCATTCTTTGATTGGGAAGATGTAACAGGACCTTAAAGTGCCTTCCAATTATCACCTGGGTCATCAGTTATTATTTATTTTAATATATGGATGTAATTCTTAGTAGTTATTTATAACAATGCAAAGTAGCAAATTGTTTAATAAAACAAGATATATACTTTAGTTTCTGTGATAAAGGCAGCATGGAGTAGTCTAAAGAATATTGGACTTTGAAGTCAGAAGACTTAGGCTGAAGTCTCCCAAATATACTACTCCTCACTTACTTGACTGTGGGGCACGCGTCTTCAGCTTTCTGAGGTTAATTTCCCTCATTTTTCAGAAAGGAATACTAGGGCTTACTTGCACTGTCTATGTCATAAAGTTATTGTGAAGAAAACAATGCATGTGTGTCCCTATAATGAATTACTAATTTATTAATGATTCATTAAATTTTTGGTGAGTTTTTTCTTTAAGGGAGCAGAGAGAAAATGGAGCAAGTCCATTTATATAAGGATCAGCTGTCAGCCTCCAGATCAAGTGATTTATGTTGGGATAGTTAGACAAAATAAAATTTAAAAGAATTATGGAGATAATTTTAAAATTTGGTTAATGCATTTAAAATCCAATGCATAGTTTCGTATTATTGGCTATGAATCAAAGGTAAGGTGTTCATACTTAGCAATACTAGTCCCTTTATGTAAATGTACTATTAACTAAGCTTTTAAAAAATGTCCTATAATAATGGTTAAATAATTATTATAATAATAAATAATTATAGTATAATTAAATAATCATAATATTATATAATTAAATAATTATTTCAATAAATTATTATAGTTTAATAGATACCAGTAGGGACTGTTGACCAACATCCTAATTAATATGCAGTAAGACATTTATCTGGCATTGTTAGTATACTTACCTGTCAGTGTAATTGATTTACCCCCAAGTGCCAAAACTCAAAATTTTAGTCATTTTTAGGTGTAGAAATAAATTAGTCATATCCTATAATAAAAGATGAATAGGAGAAAAAAGAAGTTCAGCACAGCTAACCAACATATCCACCCAGTCTGACATCACATAGTATTCTGCACCTGTTGTACCCCTTGAAAGGCAGCTGCCTGGTGGTATAGTGAAAAGAATGCTGGGCCTACAGGTGGAGGGCCTGAGTTTCAAATGCAGCCTCAGGCACTAACTGTGTGACTCTGAGGAAGTCACTTAACTTCTGTTTATCTCAGTTTCCTTAGCTTAAAAAGGGAATAATAACACCTCCCTAGCGGAGTTGTGAAGATCAGATGTAAGAAGGGCTTAGCAAAGTGTCTGGCACAAAGTAGGTTTTATTATAAATCTTTATTCCCTCTCTTCTTTTCCTCCATTGCTTCAAAGAAAGGAATTATGTTCTCATATCATTTCTTTGAGGCCAAGTTTAGTCATTATAATATTGTAGCATTGTTTTAATTTTTAAAATTCTCCTTTCTGTTTACATTTTTGTAGGCACTGTGTATTTTATTTTTTTGGTTCTCTTATTTCATTCTGCAGTAGTTTATGTGGCTTCATATTTGTGGTTTCTTAAAACACAATAATATTCAGTTACCTTCGTTATATTCAGTAATATTCACCTACCACAATTAGTTTAACCATTTTCCACTCTTTTTAAACAATTGAGTGTTGAAATGAGCACTAATATCTGTGATATTTTTCTCGTGGTAGCTAGGTGTTATAGTGGATAGGCTGCAAGATTTGCAATCTGAAAGACCTGAGACTGGAAGACCTGCCTCAGATACTTACTAGTTGTGTGACCCTGGGCAAGTTACTTAATTTCTATCTGACTCCATTTCTTCACCAGCAAAATGGGAATAATAATAGCACCTACTTAACAGGTTTATTCTAAGAATAAAGATGGCATAATATTTGTAATGCGCTTTGCAAACTTTAAAGCACCAGATAAATTCTAGCTGTTATAATTATTATTAATAACAATGAAAGTGATTATAAATCAGTCTTTTCCTGATGAGACAATGTTGCTATTTTGAACATTTACTGTGTTGTTATTGCTCTTTGATTTATAGTACAGTGATGCGCTAAAGCTTTTTAGGAATCTTGGGTCTGTTCGGAGTTGGTACATCCTAGCCATCACTGTTATTCATTCACTTAGCATTAGTTATTTCATTCTGTTATGTTTGCTCTTTAATTTTCTTTTATTACTGCTGTCCCGATGTTGCTGCTTCTGATCTACTGTCTCATTTACACAGTTATCTAGGTAAGAGGTTGATGATGGCTCCAGCTTTTGTATGAAGTAAG